GGGGTCCCACCACTGCCAGCTGTCTGTGACAGTCCTCCTGGTGCCTCCCTGCAGTTTGGGATCTCCTTGCTCTACTCCTTGATGAGCCATGGTGAGAGGCTGCTGTCCTCTGACGTGCCGCTGGAGCCACGGAGTGGGGACTTTGAGACCTGGTGAGGGGCTGTGCAAATGACAGGGTTGGGGTCCCACCAGCTGGTGGGATGCTCACCCCTTCTCTCCTGCCCCCAGGACAGACACAGTGTTCCTGGTTGCCCGAGAGCTGTCCCAAGTGCCCAAGGCCTCTCTGGTAGAGCCTCTCTTCTTGCCCAGCAACCTTCTCTCACTCTTCTGCCGCTACCTGGACAAGCAGACCGTCCACCACCTGGAAGCCAAGATGGAGTGAGTACTTCCTGGTACAGCTCCCTGCTTCTGCCAGGGACCCCTCAGATGTGGTGGATGGCATCAGGGCCTCACTGCTTCTGTCCCCCTGGGCACCCCGTTGGACACAAGTCTCCAAACCTCCACTTGGCTGAGCTCATCCTTATGGCTTTACTCCTGGTTTTAGTGACCCTAGGACTGTGCTGCTGGTGCTGGGTTTTGTGTTTGCATCAGGTTTGCCACACCGTGATGGCACGTCCCTCTGGTTCGCCCCACCATGATGGCACGTCCCCCATGGGATGAACCGAAGTGGGGATCCCCCCAGCAATTTATCCAGCAGCTCTAGGGCACCTTGGAGTGGTTGGGCAGGCAGGTTTCAGGCAGCATGAATGTGACAACCTGATGCTCCAACCTCATCCTTTCCCTGCAGATGCTCCCCACTGCCGTCAGAGGCTGCCATGCTGTGCTGAGCCCCAGGAGCCGGGGATGGGCCAGCGGTGCCAGGAATGGGCAGGGCCCAATGCCATAACTTTGAGTTTCAAAGCCAACACTTACCCTGGTGCGGGGCACCCTGGGTGAACAGGGCACTGGCAGGGCTGGCGCTCGTGGCCTGATGCCACCCTGTCCTGGTGCCTGGGAGCACAGCACAGGGAGATGGGTAATTTATTTTGGCCTCGCACCCAACAGTGCCAGATCATGGCGGGGTGTTGAGGTGGGGTCTGCACAGGGGCGCTGGGAGCACCTGGGGGTGAGTGACTTTGTGTCCAGCACTTGAAATAAAATAAAAAGGTGATTAATGAGCTCCTCTGGCTCCTGTGGGCAGCTTCTGCTGTAAGCACAGGGATCCTGAAGGCATCACCTGGGCATAGAGACCCATGGTTGAGGATGGTGGGGATCCAAGTGCATGGTAGAGGGGATGGAGAAGCAGGGAGGGATGTGTGGAGGACCCAAGGAGGAGGATAAAGTGGGATGAAGGAGAAGGCAATGTGCTCAGCACAAAGTGGAGGGGGGATCAGAGGGCCATTGAGCCCCCAGGAAGAAGAATGTGCTGGAAGAAAAGAGATGTGGTGGGAATGGAAGGGAAAAGAGACCAGCAGTGAGGAAAAGATGGGGTCAGAGCTTGTCCTGAGGGGAAAGGAAGGATCTGTGTAGGCAGGAGAGCACACCTGGATGTCCATAGGAAGGGTACAGGGGATCTGAACACACATGGGTGGGTATAAAGCACTTCTCTCTGGTGAGGTCTCAGACTCATTAGTCTAAAGGCTTGCAGACATGGCCATGATAAAGGACCTTGAAGCATCTTTCTTGAGCAGCTTTAACTGACCATGACTACCACAAACTGGCCCTTCTGCATTAGAGTTGAGGAGATGCTTAGGTGCAGTGTCTGGTCTCACTGTAGAAATCTTTGAGGCTCCTGCCTGGCTTCCAGGGGTATATGGTGGGATGTCCCCTAACCCTATGGGACATCTGAGCCTGGGACACCTATGCTTAATCACCTGGATGTCCATCCAGAGGTCTAAACTTGACACCTCAAAGCCTGGTTTATACTCAAAAGAGGCTTGCACCAGAAAGTTGTCTCATCCTCAGACTGGTAGCTATCATGTGCCCAAGGTCCAACCCCATGTAGATGAAACTATTCCTTTAAAGTTATGTCCTCCAGATGTCAGACTTAATGCACGTGGAAAATTTGCACAAAATAAGGATCTGACTGGTAGGGCTGAGCAGTTGGGTGGGATTTATGTCCTCTCCACAGTTTATCAAGACAGCTCACATCTCATCTTCTGAAACTCACTTCAGAGCAGCAACTGAGTTGCCTAAATACAGTGGGACAGAGACAAGAGATGCTGCAGATGTGATGCAGGACCTAGGTGGGGACTCTTGCCCTTTGTGCAAGAGGTAGGGTATAAGCTGTTGGTCCAGGGTGTGAGTCCAGCTGCCTTTGTCATCCTGATGTCTCTCCTGCTCATCTTGGTGCCCTACAGCCTCAGCCTTTCCTTCATTCTCAAAATCAGGTTTGCCAAGAGCAGGTTCAAAGCATTCTCTACTTGCTCCTCACGCTTTATTGTTAGGAAGTTGTTCTTTGGGACAGCTATGTTCATTGTTAACCATCCACTGCTATGTCAGGTCAAAAGAGTGACACTGGCAGGTTGTCATCAGGGTGAAACCCGTAGTTTCAAACCCACCAAGACAATCTGAGAGGATACCTGTGTGGTGACCTACCTGCAAGTAAAAGAGTAGACCTTGCCACTACACACCCTACAGACAATTTCAGACAGAAGGAAAAGGCCCTAGTGTCCCCAGGGTGGAAGGGGAACTAGCAGCTGCTCACTGATTTGTAGGAAGAAAGGAGGACACCAGCGAGTCCTTCAAGATGAAGATAAGCTGTGTTATGTTTTTGATTTGCAACGGAGCAGAGCGTGAGTGTTCTTCACCCAGAGAGCCAGCAGGGATGAAGGAGGAAAGCGTGATATGGTTCCAATCACATATGAGATCAAATACTTCAGCTTAGGAGGGTTGGAGATCTCTGTTGGACTTTGCTGCTTCATTGCAGGAAACAGCTGAGACAGAAGACGGAAAATGCGTCTCTTTTGGTTACTCTCGCACAACCGAGGGACCCCACCACCCAGCAGCTCCCCTCAGTGTTTCCCACATGGAGAAAGAGACCCTCTCCCTGGGGCTGAGGTGAATTCAGCTGAGGGGTGTCCTTCAGGTCAGGAACCCCATCTGGGTTATCCACACTAGGTTCTTCTCCCTTAACTCAAAGCTGATAAAAGTCCAGGCTCTGCTTTACCTGCTGCCCTGTCCAACTCCTGCTAGCACTGTCCCAAAAGAGTCCCATGGGGTGGTGGAGACCCATCACTGTGAGTGAGCGGCTGGACCAAGGGCAGTTGCTATCTCAGTGTTATGAGGCTCATTCTGGGATGTCTTGGAGGGTATGGGACCCATCCTGGGACATCTTCAGTGTATGGAACTCATCCTGGTATGTACTGGGGGGTATGGGGCTCATCCCGGGATGTCTTGGGTGTGTGGAGCTCATCCTGGGATGCAGGGAAGAATATTTTGGGCTTGCACAAGACTTATTGTGGGATGTTTAGGGGAGGAATCAAAGGTGGGGAGAAGGAAGGGTCAAGGTGGTTTACAGCAGATGGCTCTCTTGGGCTTCCTGCAAAAGCCCTTGAGTTGAACAGGTGCCCATCCCAGTCAGGGTGTGAGGGGAACGATGGCTGTCCCAGCTGAGGTGCTGAGGAGACCACGGCCACCTTGGCCGGGTGTTGGGGCCATGGAGAGGACTGTGGCCACCTCGGCTGGGTGTTGAGGCCACCACGCCCACCTGGGCCGGGCCGCTGAGGGGACATTTCCATGGTGACAGCGCCACGCCTGCCGGGCGCTCATTGGCTCCCGCTGACAGATGAGGGCGGGGCGGACGGAGGCACCGTCCAGTGCGGGGCCCACC